AAAATTTTTCCCCCCCCTTTAAAAAAACCCTTGGTCCCCAGGTTTTTTCTGAAAAGCCCCCCAAAGGCCTAACTAAAAAAAATTGTTTAAAAAATTATTTCTTTTTTAAAGGAAAGGCGAAAAATTGTTATGGGGGAAATTTTTTCGTTTTTAAGCCCCTTTCGTCGGAAAAAAAAAAATTTTTTTTAACCATTTTGGGGAAAAAAAAATTATTAAAATTTTAAAAAACCCAACTTTTTTTCTTTAAAAAATTCTTTTAAATTTTTCGTTTCGTCTAATCGAAACAAAAAAACATATGGGGGGGTATTTTTTTGGGGTTTTTTTGGTTTTTAAGATGAAATTTTATTTTAAATTTGGGAAGGTGGGTTTTTAAAAAAAACGTTTTTTTTCAGGGTTTGGCGAAAGGCCAAAACGATTGGGGAAATTACTTTTTTTAAAGTTCCCCCGAGTTTTTGAAAAAAAAAAATTACTTTTCCTTTAAAACAAAAAAAAAACAAAAAACAAAATTTTCCCTTTTTTTTTTAAAGGGTTTTTAAAAAAAAAAATTTTAAAAAAAAGGGGGAAAAAAATTTTCCCTTTTAAATTTTTGAATGTTAAAATTTTAAAAAAATCTTTTCCCCCCCTTTGAAAAGGGCCCTTTTTAGGGGGGGGAATTTTTAATCTTTAAAAAAAACAAAAAAAAAGGTTCTTGGGGGCTGAAAAAAAAAAAAAGGTTCCCCCCAAATTAAAGGGTTTTAAATTTTCCCCGGGGATATTTTTTTTTTCATTTTTTTTAAAAAAAAAATTAGGGAATAAATGGCTTTTTTTTAAATAAAAAAAAAAAACAAAAATTTTTTTTGTAGGAAAAAAAAAAGCCCAAAAACCACCCCTTTCCAAAATTTTTTTTCCCTTTTTTTTGGGGGTTTTTTAAAAATTGGGGCCCCGGGGCTTTAAAAAAATGAAAAAGCGGGCCCAAATTTTTTTTTTAAAAATTGGTATTTAATGGGGGGAAAATAAGAAAGAAAAAATTAAAAGGAAAGGGGAAATTTTTGGGATTTTGTTATTCAAAAACACCTTTTTAAAAAAGAAAAGAAAAATTATTTAAAAGAAATTGTAAAAAAAAAAGAAAAAAAAAAGTTTTAAAAAGAAATGAAAAAAAAAATTCAAAAAAGGGAGCTGGGAAAAATTTGGGAATTGGAAGCCTTTGAAAGGCTTTGAAAGGGAAAAAACCCCGGGGGTTGTTTTACTTTTTTCCCGATTTGGAGGGGCTTTTTCCAAATTTTGTTTTTTTCTTTTTTTTTCAAAAAGGGGCAAAAAGGGGAAAATTTAAATTTGCTCGTAGGTAAATTTAAAAATATCCCAAAAATTTTTATAAAAAAGGAGGGGGGTTTTTGGGCCAGGGGGAAAAGGAATGTTTTTTTTTTTGGGGACTGTTTTTAAAGGGGAAAAAAAAAAAAAAAATTTGGGAGGCCCAAATTTTGTGTTTGGGAAATTTTTAAAAGGGAAAAAGAAGTAATTTTTCTCTTTTTATTTCTTTTGAAAAATTTTAAGTTATTTATCTTTTTTCGGGGCTTTCCCTATTTTTTTTTCCCCCCCCCTTTTGGATATTTAAAGGGGAAATTGTCTTTAAAAAAAAAAAAAATTTTGAGGGCCCCCCCACAGGGGGAAACCCTTAAAAAAAAAGTAGTTTCGTTCATTAAAAAAAAAATTTTAAAAATTATATTTTGATAATTTTTCACTGGGGGAAATTTTTTCAAATTTTTTAAATTTTTCAGGGAAAAAAAAATCAGAAAAACCCATAAAAAAAGGGCCTTTAAAATAAAAATATTTACAAAAAAAAACATTTTAAAAATTTTTCCCTTCTTTTAAATTTCTTTTTTTGGGGGACAAAGGCTTTTTTTGTAAAAAAAACCAAAATTTTTTTTTTCTATAAACCTTGTTTTCCCAAAAAACCAAAAATTTCCCCAAAATTTTTTTTATCTCTTCAAGGGAAAAAAAAAAACCCGGGGGGGAAAAAGTAAAAACCCCCTTGCTGTAAAAAACCAATTTTTTAAAAACTGTAAAAAAGGGGAAATAAAATTTTTCCCCAAAAACATTTGATTTTTTTTTCTTTTTTTAAATAAAAAAAAAAAATTCCACTTTTTTTGGGGTTTTTCCCGGATGGGAAAAAAAATGAAAAGGGGTAAATTATAATGTTTCCCCCACATTTAAAGGGACAATGATTTTTTTTAAAAACGAAAAAAAAAACACTGCTTGGTATTTTTTGGTTTTGCCGTTCCCTGATTTTTAAAAGGTTTAAAAAAAAATTTGCCTAAATTTGTTTTCGGGGCGGGGGGTCGCATTTTTTAAAAATATTTTTCCCAAAATGTCTTAATAAAATCATCGTTTTTTCCCTTTGTTTTTTAAAAAATTTTTATCCGTTTTTTACTGAAAAAAAATTTGGAAAATTTTTATCTCTATATACAAAAAAAAAATAAAAAAAACCAAAAAATGGGGGCCAAAAAAAAGCTATTTTTAAGACCCATTGAGCAAAAATTAAACCCGAAAAATTTTAAAAAAAAATTTTCCCAAAAAAAGATATTCCCAACGAACGAAAAAAAGAAAAAAAGGGGGCCCCCAAAGGGGAATAAAAAGGTTTTTTTCCAAAAAACAAAAGGAAAAAGGAAAAAAATTATTTTCCCAAAAAAAATTAACTTTAAAATCCCATTAGGGTTTTCTTTTAAAAAATTTTTCAAAAAAAAAAAACGATTGTTTTAAATTCAGTAAAAAAAATTTAAAACTCAAATTTACCCCTTGTTAATTTTTTTTTTGGGGCCCCTTTAAAATAATGTTTTTTTTCCAAAATAGGCAAATTTAAAAAAATTAAAAAAAAAAAATTTTTGGAAATTTTTCCCATGGACGTTTTTTTTAAAGGAATCCCCTTTATAAAAAACCCTTAAAAACCGGGGGTTTAAAAAAAAAAACCGGGAACAAAAACTTAGCCCGTTTGGGGAAAAAAATTTTTTCGGGAAAAGCTTAAAAAGTACAAAAAAAGAAATTCTTTAAAGGGGGGGAATTTTTGTAAACCCATGGTTTGTTTTTCCCCCCCTTTTTAAAAAAAGTTTAAAAACCTTTTTTCATTTTTCCTTTTACGGGGTTTAAAGGGGTTTTAAGGGGAACGGTTTTTTAAAAAAACTTTTTAAAAAAATTTGGTTTAAATCCCAACCCCCAAAGGGGAAAAAACAAATTTTCCGTTTTTTCCCCCGAAGACATTAAAAAATCTTTGAAAAACCAATTATTTTTGGAAAATTTTTAAAACGAAAAAAAAATAGGGGCCATTTGGGTGGGGGAAATAAATTTTTAAAATGAAAGAAAATTTTGAAAAAATTAAAAGCCCCTTTTTATAAATTTTTCCCCGGGGAAACCAAGGGGGGGGTTTAAAAAGTAAAAATAAAAAAATTTTTTGGAAAAATTTGCTTTCAAAATTCCATTTGGGAACACTTTTTTAACTCACCCCGGGGAAAAATTAAAATTCCCAAAATGGGAAAAAAAAAAGTTTTTTAAAATTTTCCCTTTTTGAAGCGGGGATCCAAAAAAGGGCCGCTCACCCCTCTTTTTTTCCAAATTTTTTATTTTTTCCGCCCGGGGGGGGACCCCTTTTGGTAAAGGGTTAATTTTTTTAAGGTTTTTGGGGCCTCTTTAGTAAAAAAAAAAGTTCCCATTGAAAAAAGGGGCCTTTTTTTCCCGGAAGCAAAAATTAAAAAAATGTTTTGGGAGGGGCCCCACGTTTATTTTTAAAAGGAAGGGGCCCCCAAGGTTTTTTCCGGGTTTTAAGTTCCCCAAATTTTTGGCTTTTAAAAGCCCCCCCCATCCGGGGGAAAAACCCCAAAACCTGTGTCCATATGTTTTTAAAAAATTATTTTTTGGGTTTTAAAAAGGATAACCTTTTTAATAAAAAGGGTTAATATAATTTTTAATGGGAAAATTTTAATTTCATTTTAAAAAGGGTTTTATCATTTTTTAAAAAAAAAACTTTTAAAAATTTTGAATTTAAAATTAAAGGTCGGTTTAATTGTTTTTAAAAAAATGCCCCCCTTTAAAATCATTATAAATTTTATAAATTTTGGTTAAAAAAACCTTTTGTATTTCTGTTGAAATGTGTTTGAAAATCGCTAAAAAATTTGGAAATAAAGGGAGTATATATAAAAATTAAAATTTCCCCAAAGTATTTGATATTTTTTTTTTTCCTTTTCGGGGGAAAAAACCAGACAGTTGGTTCCCAAATTTTTTATAAAAAAAAAAATTTTTTGAAAAAAATTTTTTCCCTTTGGCCCCAAAAAAAAAGGGGAAAATTTTAATTTTTTGTTTTTTAAATATTTTCAAAAAAAAAAAAAAGCCCTTTAATTTTAAATATTTTTTAAAAACTTTGCTTTATGGAAAAAAATTTGGGCAAAAATTTTTAAAGAAATAGATGGTTAAAAGGTATTTTTGGGAAAAAATATAAAAATTTAGCCCCAAAAAAAAAAAGTTTATTTTTCTTTTTGTAAAAAAAGTTTTCTTTAAGGCTGGGCCCTTGCCCCGGGTTCCCTTTCTTTTTTTTAAAGGGGGGGGGAAAAAATTCCCGGGTTTTTTTTCCCTTTGGGGAAATTGAGGCACTCAAAAAAAATAAAAATTTAAAAATTTGCTTTTTTTTTTGGGAAAAATTTATTAAGGGGGGGGGGGGGGGGGGAAAAAAAATTTTAAAAGACGGGGCCCTTTTAAATTTGCAAAATTTGGAAGGGGGGGGATTTTATGGGGGCCCAAAATTCCCGGTATAAACCCGGGTTTAAAAAAGTTTTCCCCTTTTTAAACTTCTTTTTTGGGGATTACTTTTTTTGGGGATTTACCAAAAAATAGTTTTTTTAAAGTGTTTTTCACCCTATGTCCCAAAAAACGCCCAATAAAAAAAAATTACATAAAAAAAATAAAAAATTAATTTGGAATGTTTTTCCCCAAAAATTCTTTTTTTTTACGATTTTTTAAAAGGGAAAAAAAAATTCAACTTCTGAAGTTTTAACTGGTAATAGTCACTTTTAACCTTATACAAATCTCTTTCCACTTTCAATTTATTCACTTCCTCTTTTCAATTTCTTTGTCTCTTCTTGGATCTTCTAGATTCCAGCCTTATTTTTCCTTTTTTCTGATCTTAATACATCTATCTGCAGTTGTTTTAAGTTTGCTTAAATAAAAGAAATTAATCGTTATGTAAATACTTTCAATATTGTTTGCATATAGGGTATAAATATGCTCAAAAAGGGAAAATTTAAGAAAAAATGTAAAATCCAGTTAAGTCTTGATAAAGAACAGACATGTGCTTTTGTATGACATTATAACATTTCACATAAACTTTAGGCTCGACCAAACGTTTTCGTCTTACAGATTAAATAACATACAATGGAACTTAATATGAACATTACCGGTACAAGATGTCCGTTAAGTTCATATATGCCCAAATTATAATCCAAAGCCAAAACAACAAACTATAATAATCTCAATGGAAAAAATCAAGGCAAAATGTTCTTTCTATCAGGCTAATTCTCGTTTTTAAATACTAAACTAAATTAAATCACTACAATATAATTACCTGACAAGACACCTTCTTCTTCATCTTCACCCTTTGACGGTTTTCTAAATATATAATACGTAATAAAATATAATAAGTTATATAATAAGCTACATTGCTTTTACACCAAGTGGAATCAGTCATTTACAATACATGCTCTGCCATGCCCTGTTAAGTACCCTTTCGAACAGAGAACAAAATAAGTACTATATTCTCTTAATTGTACACCATTAATTTGTGTGCACTTTACGGCGATAAGCATTTGTAACTTGGAATAGAGTATGTCATCCTTTCTGAGTTGTTTTTGCCATCGTCAGTAGTTCTACTAGTAATGATCCTAAACAGGGGTTTCCCTTGCTTATCAAAACAACTTCAAAAATTAAGGCAACCAGAACGCCAACTTCACAAAAAAAAAGATAAAATCAAAACTTTCACCATGTATTTTTTCCATAACGTGTCGAAATATCAAAAAAACTTCAGAGTCTTTTTATAATATTTACAAGAGTTCAAACTAATCGGTTTTAGAAAAAAAAAGATAATGACGACTAACGACGGACAAAGGGAGGATATCACAAAATCTCAAAATACGTGAGCTTAATAAAAAGACGGTGTAAAACAACTTTAAAATTTAAGACTTTTTGGTCTCTGGGCCTCTTTCCAAAAATGAAAACAATAAAATTGAATTGCATAAGAAGTGCACATGTAGTGCACACCAGATACACTTTGTGTAACCTTTTATAAAGTTAAGATGCCCCCAACTTCACGCCGCTTGGACGCCAAACCGCGGAGCTATTAACTTCGCGCCGCTTAGACGCCAAACCGCGGAGCTATTAACTTCGCGCCGCTTGGACGCCAAACCGCGGAGCTATTAACTTCGCGCCGCTTGGCCGCCAACTTCACACATCTTACTACTGCTAGTGCACCCCTTGACGCTTTGTTCGAGGGGATTCATATAGGGTGTGGCAATGCTCAATGATAGGTCATTTGAAAAAGACAGTTTTATCTACAGATTATTATTATACAGGTATTACAGATTATTTATTACAACATTATAAACTACATTAATTAAGCAACTAGGCTTTTACTTTAATCATACTTACAATTTATAACATTTTACAGCATGCAAAAATAGCAAGTGATATTGAATCAAATGGAGCAACCAAAAGTGAAGTAAATGACGTTATGGTGCTGGTTTTGAAAACAGAACATTACATAAATGGATTTTACTTCTCTGAGTTGAGGTATTTTCTCAGCTTTTCAGCTCTCTCTATGTATTGGATACACTTTACTCTTATACTCTCTTTTGCTTTATCATTCTGTGCTTCATCTAACAAAATAATTAATAACCTAATTTAGTTTTTACATTTTTGTATTGGTTGGTTGGGTTTCACGTCGCTACAACACAGTAGATATCATTTGGAGATTTTCCGTAAGATAGTTGGATAGCTTCCTCACATGAAAGAAACCCAATCTCTGGAACATTTTCCTGCCATCCCTAACAGAATTCGAACTCTAAACGGTGAAGGGCAAGTGGTTTGTAGTCAACGATCTTAACGATCTCAACACACCTGATTAACCACACCTGATTTACATTGACTAAGGATCTCTGTACTATAGACACATTATAAAAGCAATTACTAAAAGTAAAAAATGTCTTTTTTTAAAAGGAATTAGAAATTCATAGAAACCAACTCCTTGTTCATTTTATACAGTAAATAATGACTTCAAACAGCAAACTTCGTATCAGAACAGTGCTTTACATTCTTACACTCAGAAGCATACACTCTATTAAGAGACATTAAAACAAAAACAAAAATTCAAACTGAAATCAATAATGAAAGGTTTATATACTCTTCAAAGCTTGTAGTGGCTCTTGTAAACGAAACCTTTCAAAAATGGGTGAATAAACATTAGTGATAGACCCAGCAATCTCTGATGCAAAACCATATTTCTACTCACATTTGATTGCACGACAGAAAAGACCAGCTGCCTCCTCATACAGCTTTAAGGCTTCCTCATAATTTTCCTTTTTATCTTCTTCTGTCGCCTTTGTTACAATCTTTATAGCTTTCTATAATTTGAAGAAAAAATATTTGATTATAGAAAATGAAAGTTTCACACATACTAGTAATAGAGAATAAAAAAGTATGTGTTTTATTCCATAGCTTTTTGGGTCATCGTACATGTATATTGTTAAGAAATCAAAAACTGCAATATTTTGTTCATGTATGTATTTGTCTAATTAACTTGTTAATTTCGTTGATTTTTTGTTAAAAACTTATATTATCAATTCAGTAAGCAACTTTGAATATTATTTACCTAGAATGTCCTTTCATTCAACATGAAGCTATGCTAATCTTCTTATTTTTATGATTTTTTGTGCCCCCACTTTAGGGGGGGGGGGGCATATACATTTACCCTTGTCCGTCCGTCCATTCGTCGCATGGAAACCAAAAAGTATTTGACCTAGAGTCATGGAAATTTACAGGAATGTTGATCAGCATGTGCAGTTGTGCACCTTGGTATTTTCGTGTGGATTCATTTAGTGTTTTAGAGGTATTGCCCTTGACTTAGTAAAAATTTGCAATTTTCAACTTGTGTTGCACGTAACTCAAAAAAATATTTGACCTAGAGTCATGGAACTTTACAGGGATATTGATTAGCATATGAAGCTGTGCACATTGGTATTTTCGTGTGGATTTATTAAGTATTTTCAAAGTTATTGCCCTTGACTTAGTAAAAATTTGCAATTTTCAACTTGCGTCGCATGTAACTCAAAAAGGATTTGACATAGAGTCATAAAACTTTATAGGAATGTTAACCAGCATGTGTAGTTGTGCACCTGGGTATTTTTGTGTGGATCTTTTTAGTATTTTTAGAATTATTGCCCTTGACGTAGTAAAAATTTTCAATTTTCAACTTGTGTTGCACGTAACTCAAAAAACATTTAACCTAGTCATGAAACCTTAAAGGAATGTTGCACAGCATGAAAATTTGTGCACCTGGAGTTTTGCTTGTAGATTTATTCTGTTTATATAGAGTTATCACCCTTGACTTAGTAAAAATTTGCAATTTTCAACTTGTGTCGCATGTAGCTCAAAAAGTATTTAACCTAGGGTCATGAAACTTTACAGGAATGTTTATCAGCATGTGTAGTTGTGCACCTTGGGTTTCGCTTGTGGATTTATCCAGTATTTGTAGAGTTATTGCCCTTGGCTTAGTAAAAACCGTTTTATTATGTCATGTTATTTGTTCCTTGAGTGCTTGAGTTAGAATCAACCAACTTTACAGAAATAATGATCAATATCACTGTGAAGCTATGCATCTTTGCATGTTTTTTTTCAGTTTTGTTAGAGTTATTGACCTTGACTTACAGTTGTATAAATTTGCAATTTTGAACTTGTTTATGCATAGCTCAAAATTATTTGACTTGTAGGCCTGAAAGTTTACAAGAATGTTGGTCAGTATGTGTACTTATGTACCTTGGGGTTTGCTTGTGGATTTATTTAGTATTTGTAAAGTTATTGCCATTTACTTAGTTTTCAACTTGTGGCACATGTAGTCCGAAAATATTTGACTTAGAATCATAAGATTGACAGAACAGTGGAGTGTGGGGGCACCCGTGTTCTATGGACACATTTCTAGTTTTCACAAATACTGTAAATTTCATGGAAGCAGCCATTTTGCTTGTTATCTGTCACAGAAATAAATACGATTCTGTTATATTTACTATGATAAGATTGTAGGGACCTATCTAAGAACCAATATATTCTCAAACTTATCTAGCTTGCATAAGATTTAGGTACACAGCATATATACAATTGTGATTTAATACTTTTTCATTCAAACACAATGAGAATTTTTACCGTTGAATCTGAGCGTCTGCAAACCGCTACACTTCGAATAGTTTTTCCACGATACTTTATAGTTTTGGAAGTATTATATATCAAAACATTTGTTGTGAAATAAACTATTGCACTAGATGTATAAGCACTGGTCATATTGTTTATGTTTAACATGAGTCTGACTGAACATCCGTTAAGAGGAACGGTGTCCTGGAATTCCTGTCGGTCACCGTTCTGCAATTTCATTGGAGAACGGCAACGGGTACAAATCTGATTTGTCACTAGGAATACACCTTCTTCATCGGGCATTCAATGATTGGTCAATTCAATCACGTGGTCACATCTCAGAAGCCTATATATTGGCTGGATTCAAGATGATGTCAGTTTTTGCGTCTGCTTTCAGACATATAAATAACTTTAGAGAGCGGCAAATACAAATATAAAATCTAGTAAGTCCCTTGTAAACTTATCTAAAATGTTGTTTTCCTGACCTCTGTCCACAAATGATTTACTTTACCATATAACTATTGTTGATAAACATTATGTATATTCTAGACTTATTTACAGTACAGTACCGCTTTATAAGAGACGAGAGCTTAACGTTATTACTGTATTTATATAGTATTTTTACGCAAGATGGTTGTTGTCACCATTGAAAACATATACCTTATATGTATTATGCATTATCTTCCATAAGAATGAACTGATAGCCGCTAGCCCCAGCATACAACCTAACCTGGTTATCTAAGATGTTGTCTATGTATCGCTGACCTGTCAATGTACCGCTATTTAGTACAACCAGGTCGGTCCGTTCATCAAATCTGATACCTTTCCACACCATAACTGACTAACCTCCGTAGCCGTTATGCAGTATTTGCAGCCTGAAACCGTTCACCTCGTCTTCTCCCGATTCTAGCACGCCTATCTGTGAAGTCTATACAGAACCTGGACTCATACTCATCAGTGAACAGAACGTGTTTCCAGTGCTGCATGGTCCATTCCAAACGGGCCTGGTGATGTCGATGCGTCAAGGGGATACTTATGAAAGGTCTTCTCGAACGCAAATTACCTACATCATCCAGCCTTCTACGTACTGTCTTCGTGGAAACACGGACCCCCGCAGCGTTTGCAAGGTCATTCCGAAGAGAAGTTGCTGTCGAAAACCTTGCATGACATGCCTGAACAACCAAAAAACCGATCCTGAGCAGGTGTGCCGACCTCCAACATGCCTACTGGCGGGTGTACCCTGTAACCGGTATATCTCTCAGGCTCTGGTGATGACGGTGTGGTGTACACCAAGCGCCGCACCAAACTTGTAGTGGCTCCCCTGCTGCACCACTCCTACAGCCATCCATAACTCTGCTTCTCTCAAATGCCGCCTAATGCTACCATTCGCCATATCGATATGACAGATGTAAGAAATGTAAGCCACTGTATGACAATACGCCGGTAATGTCGCCGTATAATGGAAAGCCATGGCTGTCTTATATTGTTCTTTTTCAATTTATTTAACCATTTTGATAATAATATAAGTTCACTTGGTGAAAACACATTCTTCTTTAACTGGAATCCATTATATCAATCCACAGTAACAATATATAACACAATACCGTCAGTGTATGAAACCGAGGTAGCAATATATAAGTTGATTTTCTCAATATATGATACCAATTCTTCAATATATTGTACCAAAGTAGCCATGCATGGAACCAGATGCCTTATATGAAACCGAATTATCTATATATCAATTCCTTTTACAATATATGAAACTAATATATCAATGTATGAAACCGAAGTAGCAATATATTAGTTGGTTATTACATTATATGATACCAATTCTTCAATATATGGTACCAAAGTAGTCATATATGGAACCAAATATCCATATATTGAACCGAATTATCAATATATTAATTCATTTTTACAATTTATAAACCAATTTATATATTGTAAAAATGAATTAATATATTGATAATTCAGTTTCATATGAGGACACCTGATTCCATACATAGTTGATTTGTACCATATATCGAAGTATTGGTAATATGTAATGTAAAATCAACTTATATATTGATACTTTGGTTTCATACCTTGACGACATGATTTTATATATTGAAAAACAAATTAATATATATTAATAATTCGGCTTCATATAAGGATATCTGGTTCCATATATGGGTACTTTGATACCATATATAAAAGAATTGGTATCATATATTGAGAAAACTCAACTTATATATTGCTACCTCGGTTTCATACACTGACGTTATGGTTTCATATACATGTATTAATATAATGGTTTCCGGTTTAATAAGAAGGTGTTTTCAATTCATATATTGTCGACGCGAACTTATATATTATCCAAATGGTTAATTAAATTGAAAAAGAACAATGTAAGACAGCCATGGCTTTCCATACAGTATAACAAAAGACGTGATTGTACACCTTGCTATTACATAATTCATGTGCTATTTTCGCATTCTTGCGTTACTATATTACAAGGTGGATATTATTTACATGTAAAAAAACATTTCCTACTTCCTTTTCGGTAAAATAGTAGCAGTTATTTTACTTACACTTAATGCTGTCTCCCACAAACTTACACCAAATGAGTCCTTTCCTGTAGTGTAACTCATTATTTCTCATAGTTTCCACATTGTTGAAATCAATATAAACAATACAAATCTAAATGTTTTAACGTAAATTTATTGCAATCCTCTAATGTCTCGGTAGTTATAAACACTGTACACCTAACCCCTATAGGTCACATGTATACAAAACGTATACACCAGGAAGAACATTTTTTGCATAAATAATCATCTATAGAATTTTAAATATCTATTTTTTATGCTATATTCTTGTGTTTATTCAACCGACAGTAAAGAAAAACAAATAATACACGTTCTATCACGATAATTGATATTTTGCACTAAGCAGTGTACCAATAGGGGACGGTACATTCTAGGATGGATTTTTACAGGATTAGATAGAAATACTACTTTAAAGAAAGTACCTTTTTAAAAGGCAATTTTTGTGCTTTAAAGAAATAAAGCGACAGGAATAGATAACCGTTTATAGAACCAAATGATATTTTATATTGTCATATCACAGAGCTCTTTAATAATATTGTAGAATCTGGCATGTTTCATGAACTCTGGAAAGAGGTTGTGTGGTACCAATACATAAACAAGAGCACCCCAAAGGCGGGGCAATGTACGCCCGAATGTTAACTTGTTTGAGTAATCAAAAATAATCTTTCTATAAGAGAGACCCAATCAAGATACCGAAACACGTTTTATATTAATTATCCTTGTGATACAGTAATACAATATAACCTTCAATGGTGGGGATATATTTTTACCCTAAGTGCATGATTCCTAAAACTATAATAGAGGTCTACTAGGCAATGCAATATGTAGAATATAGAGACATATTAGCTATACGAGTATATAAGCCTACTTAGAAAGTCAGCCCAGGAGGCCAGGACAGGGGTTCATTTTACCTGAGGGCCATGATAAATATATCGTTTGAAGAAATTTACAAATTGATAATGGCTAACATCTAAGCTCTTGCCTTTGTAGTTTCACATGTTAAGATTAAAATAAGTTTTCCGATAATAGTAGATATAAAATGTGTTACACCTGGGTATCGGCCAATATTGGCCCTACGGGCATAATTAATATCCATTTTGTAAAAATGCAATTCTACATGGAATCTATTCAAACTCCGGACCGTAGTTTTACAAAAAATTGAAATGTGTGTTCCCTTATAATTTCGTCAAAACAAGTTGCGGCGTTTTCCGTCAGTCTTCGGATAAGCTTTTCTTGCATAGCAGACTGGCGTTTCCGTGAGTTTTACCCATGCCAGAAATTTCATCTGGCATGGGGGGTGCCAGATGAGTCGCGTGCCAAACAAAAACGTCATTTTAGCGCACTTTATTAATGAACCGCGGTAAAATGACGTCGTTTTAGAAGGGAAATATGTGCTTAGGATGACGTCATTTTGCCGTTGTTATCAAAGTTGTAAGTTCATACGCTATTGTAAGATAAAAGTTATGGATGAAATGACTTTAATTTCCGATGAACATATATCATATTGAGGTAAACCATTTTAAATATTGAAATAATATGGCAGAATATGCAAGAAAAAATATCTTTCATATGTTTGCGGTTCGGACCTGAATATCCGTCCCTCGGGAACCCGCCCATGGGCGGTAACTCGGCAAGCCTCGTTACCGCCCAATGGGCGGGTCCCCTCGTGACGGATATTCCGGTCCGAACCGCAACATATGACAGATATTATTACTCTAACTAGGATTAATCGACGATATTTTCCGAAATGGAATGGACCACTGTCTGTAGTGTTAAATCTTATGTACATAATATTTTCCGATTTTTGTTTTACAGATTTGTTCATCTCGATGATATTTTTTCGTTTCAGTCAATTCGTATTTTGTAGCGGAGCATGCGCATTACAATTTTTGTAAAATGGGTCTTATGACTTTTTGTTTTGATTTTTTAACTTCAATTTGATACGCAAAAATGTATGCCGTCAGAATCATTCTCAACACCATGGAGAGGTCTGATGACCTCTCTCCAATAAATGACTCCAGGGGCGGGGCATATATTGACACAAGAGGCATGATAAATAACAGTTTGGTAGAGTATAACAAGGGAATGCTACATGTCATGTATCTAAGCTATAGGCATTGTCGTTTCACAAAATAAGACTTTAATGTGTTTTCCTATACAAAACTGAGTAACCCCCAGGACGGGACCAATATAGAGCGAAGGACATGAATAAATCCAGTAATGTTGTGGTCTAAAAAGTGATTTTACATGCCAAATATCTAAGCTCTAGGCATTGTGACACATTAAGTCTCAGATGTGCTTTACCTATATAAGTGTATATAAATCAAGTGACTGAGGGGACAAGCCAATTTTGGCAAAAAGGCATAATTCATATCAGTTTTGTATTGGTCAATATTGCGATGCCACATGCTTAATATCTAAACTCTATGCATTGTAGTTTTGTAAATGTCAAAACACACAATAAAACTTAAAATGTGTGCCTAGATAAAACTTAAATATAAGTTGATCCCCGGGGCGGGTGAATTTCGATCTAAGGAAACCCAAACCAGCGCTATAGGCATCGTCTCATGTTTATTTATACAAAAACCGTTTTAATTTCTTTCTACCTGTTCAAAAGATACAGAGCAGACAAGGAATTTTGAAAATTCATTTAAAACTGTGACTTTGACCTGAGGATTTAAAAACCCTTCGCTCTGTATATTGTATAAATTATGATTAACAATTCTGTCAAGACGATTCAATATCCTTTCACCAGTTGACTAAAATACAGACCGAACATGAAACAGCTAACATACGGAATGGAACGACTAGGTACATTTTACTATTTCTTGTGTATGAAACGAAATAAAGAAAATGTACAAATTTGGCAGAGGAACTTTATTGAGACATCTTGGTACACAGTTTACTAGCATTATATCCCAGTCTTAAGTTCATCGTTCTGGTTTTATTTTTAAAGTTCATGGCTATGTCTGACTATAAATGGCCGATTAAACATTAACGAAAACGTTTGAAAATTAGTATCATGAATAACTTTATTCAATTTGATATTTTATTTCATCTGAAGCATGCTTACAATAACATCCATCGTACACTGGCCAGCCTTGGTTTGGAGATTCTTCTATGTAAAGGAAAGTTGTTTATAAAATGCACTGCATTTTTAAAATGTTCATTTTGTTAAGATTTTAACGTTTTAAAATTACTTTTAATTTAAGGGTTTACGAGTTATGTATGATGTTTTTAATCCTTATTTGATATGAACGTCCATGTCAAAAATTTAAAAAATTTGAAACTAGTTTATCACCCAAAAAATTTAAAACCCCGTTAAAATCTTATAATCAATATCCCTTAGTCAAAAAGGGGAAAATTCGGATTTTAAAAGAAAATTTCTTCCCTTGAAAATAAAAGGGCATGCTGAGTTTCACAAAACCTTTTTAGTAACAGCCCTGAAAAAAAAGGGTATTTTCCTTTAAAATTTTCCCTTTTCTTAAATTTACACAAGGGTTTAAAACTTTAAAAGTTAACAAGGGAGAGAGTAAAAGTTCCCCATGGGATTTTCACTAAATGGGTGACACCTCGCCCTCTTTGCCAAAACTAAAGGTTGGTACCTTTTAGAGAATGTTTTAAACAAAAAATTAAAAAAGGGAAAAATTTCCAAATTTAGAAAACTAAAAAAAAAAAGAAAGCTGCCCCTTCCCCCTCCAAAATTTACATATTTTTTTAAAAAAAAAATTGTTTAAATAATAAAGTTTAATCCCAAAATATGGGGCGCACAGCCAAAAGGGAAAAATTTCCCAAAACTAATCATTCAGCCCTTTGGGGATTTTCATATGGGTTTAAATGAAACCAAAAGGAAATAAAATTAAAAAAAAATTTGGGCCCCTTTCTGTAGTAAAAAAAAGAAACATTTGTTTCCTTATTTAAAAAAAGGGGCTCGTTTTTTAAAAAATTTTAAAAAAAGATTTCCCAATTTTGGGCTTCTAAAAAAATGTTTTCAAATCTTTCATTGTCCCTTAAAATAAAATTTCCCCCAAAGCCAGTTTCTTTGAACAAAATCAGTGGGGAAATTTTTTTGTTTTTCTCAACTCATCGAAAATTTACATCCCCCTTTTTAAGGGCAAAAGAACACCGGGAAACAAAATAATTTTTAAAAAAAAAGTCCATAAAAGAAAATTTTAAAATTTCTGAAATACTTAACTAGAAAATGAAAAAAAAATTCAAAATCAGAGGAAAACCCTAAGAAGAAAAATTCGTTTGATTTTATTAAAATAAGACCCCCACTATTTTAAAAGATCCTTTGTATTTTATTTATCAATTTAGAATGGCCCAAAGAACCCAGGGTTTCCCGTTTTTTAATTTTTTAAAAAAGGGCCAATGAAAAATTTTACTGAATTCAAATTTTTCCCCGTTTAAAATTTTTTAAAGGGAAATTAAACTTGGTTTTAGACTGCTTTTCGGGTGAATAAAAATATTCAAAGGGTCATTGGGAAGGGGTTAAACAAATTTCTAAAATTTAGAATTTTTAAAAATCGGGTTTGCGTTTAAAAGTTTTAAAAAATATTTTAATAAGATTTAAACTTTTGTCCTGGGAAAACCCTTTAAAAACATATAAAAAAAAACAAGATTTAACAAGGGGAAAAGGGGGCGTTCAAATGAAATGCAACCCCCATACGACCAAGCAACAAGAACCAGTGGCAAGGAGCCCCAGGCGGACCCCCAAACAAAAAAACAAGACAGGGCACAAGACAGAGCACAAAGCCTTATAACCTTAAGTGAAAATATAAAGAAAATCAAGTATACCAAATTGACAACAGGCTCCGACAGTTTTTGTCCATTCCACTTGCGTCCAGTTTATTTCCATTGCATCAGGTGCATCGGGTGAACACGGGCCGTCAAAAGGTTCGTCAACGTATTTCATCTGGATTGTCTCTAGATGGACCTCGTACCTTAAATGAATTTATCATTATTCATTTTAATATTGAACAAAACGTGATACCAAAGTCTGGGTAAAAACGTGTTATAAACTGTCAAAATATATAACCCTTGCAGATTGCATCAAGACACGCCTTAAAGGAAAAGATAAGAATATATACCTTTCTGAAATGTGTAGCAGTTTGTACTTTACGTACTGGCTGCATGAGTGCATCTC